ATTAGTTCCCCTATCCATTCCACGCCCCATCAGAGCACTTGATAGTCGACCATTAGGGTCCGGGTTGATAAAGGAAGTCACGGTACCAGTCACCATGATCACACAGGAGACACATTGTGAGCAGGTCACTTTTTCCATCATTGAGTCTCCTGCTTTCCCTGTGGTGTTAGGTATTCCATGGCTAGCACTCCACAACCCCACTTTCTCATGGCCACAGAGGGTTCTCACGGGGTGGTCGCGAGAGTGTCAGGGTAGGTGTATGGGTGTTTCCGTTGGTGCTACCACGGTGGAAAGTACAGATGGTGCCTTCACCGTGCGCATTCCCCCCGAATACCATGATCTGGCACAAGTCTTCTCTAAAAATAAAGCGACTAAATTACCACCTCATCTGGCGGGGGATTGCGCAATAAACCTTCGGGTAGACGCTGTACCTCCCAGGAGTCATGTGTATCCCCTGTCGCAGGCGGAGACGGAGGCTATGGAGACATACGTCACCGAGTCCCTGCGCCAGGGGTACATACGTCCCTCCACTTCACCCGCCTCCTCAAGTTGATTTTTTGTGAAGAAGAAAGACGGCGGTCTGCGCCCGTGCATTGACTATCGAACAAGGAGACGATTAGATTTAGTTATCCTCTCCCCCTCATTCCGTCAGTGGTTGAGTCATTGCATGGAGCACGCTTCTTCACTAAATTAGATCTCAGGAGTGCGTATAACCTGGTGCGTATCCGAGAGGGAGATGAGTGGAAGACAGCATTCAGCACAACCACGGGGCATTATGAATACCTGGTGATGCCCTATGGTTTGATGAATGCTCCCTCAGTCTTCCAGTCCTTTGTGAATGAGGTGTTTCGGGACATGCTTGGTTGCGGTGTAGTGGTCTACATCAACGACATCTTGGTGTATTCCGCTACGCGCGCCGAGCATGTGTCCCTGGTTCGCAAAGTACTGGCCCGACTGTTGGAAAATGACCTTTATGCTAAGGCAGAAAAGTGTACGTTTTTCCAGCAGTCCGTCTCCTTCCTCAGATACCACATTTCTACCACAGGTGTGGAGATGGAGGGCGACTGCATTGCAGCCATGCATAATTGGCCGACTCCAACCACGGTAAAGGAGGTGCAGCGCTTCCTTGGCTTCGCCAACTATTATCGGAGGTTTATCCAGGGCTTTGGCAAGGTCGCAGCTCCCATTACATCTCTGTTGAAGGGTGGGCCGTCCCTGCTCCGCTGGTCTGCTGAGGCTGACAGGGCCTTCAGTAACCTGAGGGAACTGTTCACCTCGGCCCCGGTACTGGCCCACCCCGATCCATCACTACCGTTCGTAGTGGAGGTGGATGCGTCCGATGTTGGGATGGGAGCAGTCCTGTCTCAACGCTCAGGCACGCCACCCAAGCTCCGCCCCTGTGCGTTCTTCTCAAAGAAGCTCACACCTCATCACAGTATCAAACCAGTTGCCTTGATAATAGTGTTTTGTTGTTTTGCACTATCCTCAAACTATAGCGTGGTATTTCTTCGCTGTAATAGCTACTGTAAATTGGACACTGCAGCTAGATTAACAATCTATCTGACGATATAAGACATGTCTATGTCCCAGAAAGTTGGCTGTTGTTTAAGACGCCATTCTAGTCACATACAGTGGGGAAAGAAAGTATTTAGTCAGCCACCAATTGTGCAAGTTCTCCCACTTAAAAAGATGAGAGAGGCCTGTAATTTTCATCATAGGTACACGTCAACTATGACAGACAAAATGAGAAAAAAAAATCCAGAAAATCACATTGTAGGATTTTTAATGAATTTATTTGCAAATTATGGTGGAAAATAAGTATTTGGTCAATGACAAAAGTTTGTCAATACTTTGTTATATACCCTTTGTTTGCAATGACACAGGTCAAACGTTTTCTGTAAGTCTTCACAAGGTTTTCACACACTGTTGCTGGTATTTTGGCCCATTCCTCCATGCAGATCTCCTCTAGAGCAGTGATGTTTTGGGGCTGTCGCTGGGCAACATGGACTTTCAACTCCCTCCAAATATTTTCTATGGAGTTGAGATCTGGAGACTGGCTAGGCCACTCCAGGACCTTGAAATGCTTCTTACGAAGCCACTCCTTCGTTGCCCGGGCGGTGTGTTTGGGATCATTGTCATACTGAAAGACCCAGCCACGTTTCATCTTCAATGCCCTTGCTGATGGAAGGAGGTTTTCACTAAAAATCTCACGATACATGGCCCCATTCATTCTTTCCTTTACACGGATCAGTCGTCCTGGTCCCTTTGCAGAAAAACAGCCCCAAAGCATGATGTTTCCACCCCCATGCTTCACAGTAGGTATGGTGTTCTTTGGATGCAACTCAGCATTCTTTGTCCTCCAAACACGACGAGTTGAGTTTTTTACCAAAAAGTTCTATTTTGGTTTCATCTGACCATATGACATTCTCCCAATCCTCTTCTGGATCATCCAAATGCACTCTAGCAAACTTCAGACGGGCCTGGACATGTACTGGCTTAAGCAGGGGGACACGTCTTGCACTGCAGGATTTGAGTCCCTGGCGGCGTATTGTGTTACTGATGGTAGGCTTTGTTACTTTGGTCCCAGCTCTCTGCAGGTCATTCACTAGGTCCCCCCGTGTGGTTTTGGGATTTTTGCTCACCATTCTTGTGATCATTTTGACCCCACAGGGTGAGATCTTGCGTGGAGCCCCAGATCGAGGGACATTATCAGTGGTCTTGTATGTCTTCCATTTCCTAATAATTGCTCCCATAGTTGATTTCTTCAAACCAAGCTGCTTACCTATTGCAGATTCAGTCCTCCCAGCCTGGTGCAGGTCTACAATTTTGTTTCTGGTGTCCTTTGACAGCTCTTTGGTCTTGGCCATAGTGGAGTTTGGAGTGTGACTGTTTGAGGTTGTGGACAGGTGTCTTTTATACTGATAACATGTTCAAACAGGTGCCATTAATACAGGTAACGAGTGGAGGACAGAGGAGCCTCTTAAAGAAGAAGTTACAGGTCTGTGAGAGCCAGAAATCTTGCTTGTTTGTAGGTGACCAAATACTTATTTTCCACCATAATTTGCAAATAAATTCATTAAAAATCCTACAATGTGATTTTCTGGATTTTTTTTTCTCATTTTGTCTGTCATAGTTGACGTGTACCTATGATGAAAATTACAGGCCTCTCTCATCTTTTTAAGTGGGAGAACTTGCGCAATTGGTGGCTGACTAAATACTTTTTTTCCCCACTGTATCGCATATTGAGCAACAACTGTCCCGATTTAGAGGTTGAAATCTAAATGTTCCCTTCATCCATAGACTGTTACGGGTTATAGAACATATAGGTAATTCTATGACTCAATGTGTCCCTGGATTTTTTCCATTTGAGGAATGGAAAATGCTTTAAAAAAAATTATGTTGTGTGTTTTGAAGACTAAACAACATCACAGCTTTCACCAGCTAAAGATTCCATTTGATAAAGCGAGTGACTCACCATATGATGAATAGCCTGCTACCTCAGCCCAAAATATTTAATTACACTGAACAAAAACATTAACGCAACATGCAACAATTACAGTTCATATAAGGAAATCAGTATAAGGAAATCAGTCAACTGAAATCGATTCATTAGGCCCTAATCTACCGATTTCACATGAATGGGAAACAGATATGCATCTGTTGTTCACAGATACCTTTAAAATAAAAGTAGGGGCATGGATCAGAAAACCAGTCAGTATCTGGTGTGACCACAATTTGCCTCATGCAGTGTGACACATCTCCTTCTTATAGAGTTGATCAAGCTGTTGATTGTGGCCTGTGGAATGTTGTCCCACTCCTCTTCAATGGCTGTGCGAAGTTGCTGTATGTTGACGGGAACTCTAACACGCTGTCTGTCGTACATGTCGATCCAGAGGATCATAAACATGCTCAATGAGTGACATGTCTAGTGAGTATGCAGGCCATGGAAGAACTGGGACATTTTCAGCTTCCAGGAATTGTGTACAGATCCTTGCGACATGGGGCCGTGCATTATCATGCTGAAACATGAGGTGATGGTGGTGGATGAATGGCACGACAATGGGCCTCAGGATCTCGTCACGGTATCTCTGTGCATTCAATATGCCACTGATAAAATTAAATTGTGTTCGTTGTCTGTAGCTTATGTCTGCCCATACCATAACCCCACTGCCACCATGGGGTACTTTGTTCACAACGTTGACATCAGCAAACAGCTCGCCCACACAACGCCATACACAGTCTGCCATCTGCCCGGTACTGTTGGAACCGGGATTCATCCGTGAAGAGCACACTTCTCCAGCATGCCAGTGGCCATCGAAGGTGAGCATTTGCCCACTGAAGTTGGTTACAACGCTGAACTGCAGTCAGGTCAAGACCCTGGTGAGGACGAAGATGCAGATGAGCTTCCCTGAAACAGTTTCTGACAGTTTGTGCAGAAGCTGGATGTGGAGGTCCTGGGCTGGGGTGGTTGCACGTGGTCTGCGGTTGTGAGGCCGGTTGGACGTACTGCCAAATTCTCTAAAACGACATTGGAATCGGCTTATGGTAGAGAAATTAACATTACATTCTCTGGCAACAATTCTGGTGGACATTCCTGCCATCAGCATGCCAATTGCACACTCCCTCAAAACTTGAGAGATCTGTGACATTGTGTTGTAGAGTGGCCTTTTATTGACCCCAGCATGACGTGCACCTGTGTAATTATCATATTGTTTAATCAGCTTCTTGATATGCCATACCTATCAGGTGGATGAATTATCTTGGCAAAGGAGAAATGCTCACTAACAAGGATGTAAAAAACTTGTGCACAACATTTGAGAGAAATAAGCTTTTTGTGAGTATGGAACATTTCTGGGATCTTTTATTTCAGCTCATGAAACATGGGACCAACACTTTGCATGTTGCGTTTATGTATTTGTTCAGTATAGATAGGCTCTGTAGTTCAGTGGGAGTGATTGTCCCTGCAGAGGCAGCTGGGGAGGACGAGAAGGATATCCAAAATGAGGATCCAAGCCAAAGAAAAGGAACTGCTGGATCTGAGACAGGCTGAAATCACTCAAGGTGATGTACTGTGGAGATCAGTAGAGCAATGGCAAGTCTGATGCCACTTTCAAGCTCTACTGAGCTACATTTTAGTCGATGCGGGAGGTTTTGGGAGTTCTTGTTCATACTTGGCAAAATTAAATATCTAATTATGGTCATCATGACCCCTGTCTGTGTCTCTCACCAGCAATCTGCACAGACAGCAGGGGAGGACAATGAGAGGATCTTTACTGAGCTGATCCGCTCCATAGAGAGAAGGTGCTGTGAGATGAGAGAGCTGACCAGAGTCCAGGAGGAGACTGCAGTGAGTCAGACTGAAGAACATATCGAGACTGGAGCAGGAGGTGGCTGAGCTGAGAAAGAAAGAAAGACACTGAGCTGGAGCAGCTTTCACACACAGAGGATCACATCTATGTTCTACAGGTAACATCACTGCTGCTCTGACACCTGTCGTATGTATGTGTTTTATGTCATTTTTTTCTCGTAGTCCACACTTTGACTTCCTCTCTCCTGGTTTCTAGAAGTGCCAGTCAATCTCTATATTGACTGAACTCACAGAAACACCCAGAATCACAGTGGTTCCTCTGGGGGATTTTGGTAAAGTGTGAGCGTCAGTATCAGCACTCTAGAAGAGATTGGAGGACTTGTTCAAAGGGGAATGGCCCAAAAAATCCAGGGCAGGTGAGAATGGACACTTTACTGTAATTCTAACTTTTTCTATAGAACATTACTACTCCTCTCTGTATAAAGTCAAATTCTTATTCCTCCATAGCCGGCACAGTGAAACCCCTGCAGTGTCCAGAGCCCCAGATCAGACCAGAGTTCTTATTATATTGTAAGCCAGTTTCAACTCCATTAATGACAAGAGTGCTGCATCTGGTCTTAGCTCAGGGCTAAATCTGCATCATGGCAGTGTTCTGCTGATTCTATCCATCCTCTTGTTACCATTCCTTTCATATTAGTGTAGTACTTTACTACACTGACTCCTCCTTTCCTTTCCTTTCCTTCCCTCCATCCCCTTTCCTCATAGATTCCTGTCAGCTCACACTGGACACCCGGACAGCCCACAGGGGCCTGAGTGTGTCTGAGGAGAACAGGGTGGTGACAGTGAGGGCCAGGGACCACTCCTGTCCTGACTACCCAGAGAGGTTTGATCACTGGAGCCAGGTGCTGTGCACTGAGGCTCTGTCAGGACGCTGCTACTGGGAGGCCGAGTGGAAGGGTAGTGGCATTAACATGGCTGTGGCATACAAAGAGATGACCAGGAGAGGAGAGGGCAACAATTCCCACTTTGGACGCAATGAAATCCTGGAGTTTGTTCTGTTCCAGAAAATGTTATACCTTCTGGCACAATAATGTGGCCACTAGAATCCCCCCCCCAACCTCTAGGAGAGGAGTGTACCTGGATCACAGGGCAGGAAGTCTGTGTTTCTACAGCGTCTCCTGACACAATGACCCTGCTCAATAGAGTCCAAACCACATTCACTCAGGCCCTCTATCCTGGCTTTGAGTTTATGTGTTTCGGAGCCTGTATAGAGTTACTGTATAGTTTAGTAGTTTAGTTACTGTAGAGTTTGTCATTTGTATTTTGCTGGCAAACAATAAACTACTATCATTTAAATACTAATTCTGCAAATACCTTCTTGATATGTTGTGAAAAGAAAAGTGTATCCTGTTTCCCCATTCTCTTCATTTGTCATCATCACATCCCCATTGCACATTTTCCTGTTAAGGTCCTGAGTGGCGCAGCGGTCTAAGGCACTGAATCTCAGTGCTGGAGGCGTCACTACAGACCCTGGTTCAATTCCAGGCTGTATCACAATCTGGCTGTGATTGGGAGCCCCTTAGGGCAGTGCACAATTGGTCCGGGGTAAGCTGAAAATAGTAATTGTTTTCTTAACTGACTTGCCTAGTTAAATAAAGATAAAAATATATATATAGAAAAGTATTCTTGACCCTATCCGACTATCAAAGCCCACAGTCCTAAAACAGATCTTCTATTGTTAGTGTCCTCTGAGGATATTGTTTTCTATCAACCTCACTCAGGCTCTGGGTTAATGGCCTCAATGTTAGCCCATAGGTTCTTAATGATAAGCCTGATATCAGCTGTTACCCCCAAGCATGTGGCGTTAGAAACAAATCTGTTATCATTTGCAGAGGATGCTACTACCCCCTTGTGGTGGTTTTAGTTGAATGATTGGTTAGAAATTATTGTTCATTTCAATGGCAATATCAATGGCACATTTATTGTGGTATGTTTTTATCAAAAGTGTCACAGGTAACCTCAGTGGCAACAGCACAGCAGTGAAAGTCACAAGATATGAAGAAATTGCAAAAGCTCAGTCTGTATAGACATGAACAAATGTCATACTGTCTCTCTCTCTCTCTCTCTCTCTCTCTCACTCTGTCTGTCTCTCTCTCTCTCTCTCTCTCTCTCTCACTCTGTCTGTCTCTCTCTCGCTCTCTCTCACTCTCTCTCACACACACACACACACATGCACACACCCAGGGACGATCCTTTTTCTTTGTTACAGAGTAACCTCAATCTTGCCTTCTGTAACTGCTGGTAGAACTAGGAAGTCCAATATAATTCCTCAATTTTCACCGCCAAAAGAAATCAACACTGTTCTCTCTCTCGCTCGCTCTGGCTGTTTCTCCTGGACTCTCTGAAATGGCACAGGCAGAGGAACTCATCTACCAGGATCAATTCCTCTGTCCAGTCTGTCTGGATATGCTGAGAGATCCAGTGGCTATCCCCTGTGGACACAGTTACTGCATGGTCTGTACTGAAGGCTGCTGGGACCAGGATGAACAGAGTGGAGGAAAATACCGCTGCCCTCAGTGCAGAACTCCCTTCTCCCAGAGACTTGAACTGGGTAGAAATACCATTTTAGCAGAGATGGTTGATAAGGTTAGGGTCTTGGGAGTCCAAGTTGCTCTTCCTGTTCACAGCCATGCTGGGCCTGAAGATGTGGTGTGTAATTTCTGCTCTGGCAGCCTCTGGAACTGGCGTTCTGCGGCCAACAAGGCAGAGTTCATCTCAGCCTATGCTACCCTCCAGTCCCTCGACTTCTTGGCGCTGACCGAAACATGGATTACCACAGAAAACACTGCTACTCCTACTGCTCTTTCCTAGTCTGACCATGTGTTCTCGCATACCCCGAGAGAATCTGGTCAGCGCGGCGGTGGCACAGGAATCCTCATCTCTCCCAAGTGGACATTCTTTATTTTTCCCCTGACCCATCTGTCTATATCCTCATTTGAATTCCATGCTGTCACAGTCACTAGCCCATTCAAGCTTAACATCCTTGTCATTTATCGCCCTCCAGGTTCCCTTGGAGAGTTCATCAATGAGCTTGACGCCTTGATAAGTTCCTTTCCTGAGGATGGCTCACCCCTCACAGTTCTGGGTGACATTAACCTCCCTACGTCTGCCTTTGACTCATTTCTCTCTGTCTCCTTCTTTCCACTCCTTTCCTCTTTTGACCTCACCCTCTCACCGTCCCCCCCCCTACTCACAAGGCAGGCAATATGTTTGACCTCATCTTTACTAGATGCTGTTCTTCTACTAATCTCACTGCAACTCCCATCCAAGTCTCTGACCACTACTTTGTATCCTTTTCTCTTTCGCTCTCCTCCAACTCTACTCACTCTGCCCCTACTCAGATGGTAATGTGCCGTCGCAACCTTCGCTCTCTCTCTCCCGCTACTCTCTCCTCTTCCATCCTATCATCTCTTCCCTCTGCTTAATCCTTCTCCCTCCGATCTCCTGATTCTGCCTCCTCAACCCTCCTCTCCTCCCTTTCTGCATATTTTGACTCTCTATGTCCCTTATCCTCCCGGCCGGCTCGGTCCTCCCCTCCTGCTCCATGGCATGACGACTCATTGCGAGCTCACAGAAGAGGGCTCCGGGCAGCCGAGCGGAAATGGAGGAAAACTAGACTCCTTGCGGACCTGTCATCTTTTCACTCCCTCCTCTCTACATTCTCTTCCTCTGTTTCCGCTGCTAAAGCCACTTTCTACCACTCTAAATTTCAAGCCTCTGCCTCTAACCCTAGGAAGCTATTTGCCACCTTCTCCTCCCTACTGATTGGATTGCGTCCTACCTGACAGGTCACTCCTACCAGGTGGCGTGGCGAGAATCTGTCTCCGCACTACGTGCTCTCAGCACTGGTGTCCCCCAGGGCTCAGTTCTAGGCCCTCTCCTATTCTCTCTATACACCAAGTCACTTGGCTCTGTCATTTCCTCACATGGTCTCTCCTATCATTGCTACGCAGACGACACTCAATAAATTTTCTCCTTTCCCCCTTCTGATAACCAGGTGGCGAATCGCATCTCTGCATGTCTGGCAGACATATCAGTGTGGATGTCGGATCACCACCTCAAGCGGAACCTCGGCAAGACGGAGCTGCTCTTCCTCCCGGGGAAGGACTGCCCGCTCCATGATCTCGCCATCACGGTTGACAACTCCATTGTGTCCTCCTCCCAGAGTGCAAAGAACCTTGGCGTGACCCTGGACAACACCTTGTCGTTCTCCGCTAACATCAAAGCGGTGACCCGATCCTGCAGGTTCATGCTCTACAACATTCGCAGAGTACGACCCTACCTTACACAGAAAGCGGCACAGGTCCTAATCCAGGCACTTGTCATCTCCCATCTGGATTACTGCAACTCGCTGTTGGCTGGGCTCCCTGCCTGTGCCATTAAACCCCTACAACTCATCCAGAACGCTGCAGCCCGTCTGGTGTTCAACCTTCCCAAGTTCTCTCACGTCACCCCGCTCCTCCGCACACTCCACTAGCTTCCAGTGCAGGCTCGCATCTACTACAAGACCATGGTGCTTGCCTACGGAGCTGTGAGGGGAACGGCACCTCCTTACCTTCAGGCTCTGATCAGACCCTACATCCAAACGAGGGCACTACGTTCATCCACCTCTGGCCTGCTAGCTCCCCTACCTCTATGGAAGCACAGTTCCCGCTCAGCCCAGTCAAAGCTATTTGCTGCTCTGGCACCCCAATGGTGGAACAAGCTCCCCCACGACGCCAGGACAGCAGAGTCACTGACCACCTTCCGGAGACACTTGAAACCCTACCTCTTTAAGGAATACCTGGAATAGTATAAAGTAATCCTTCCCCCCCCATATGAAAAAAAAAGTGGTTATCCCACTGGCTATCATAAGTTGAATGTACCAATTTGTAAGTCGCTCTGAAAAAGAGCGTCTGCTAAATGATGTAAATGTAAGATGTCTGGAAAGAGAAGTGGTTGCAGATTCTAAGAACAGGTCTGACACTATTCAACAACAGCACTTAAATAGAGCTTCATTACCTGCCACCTGGAGGTGGTATATGACCTATTTCATCAAACTGACAAAAATGTGTATTGCTCTTCAATCGTTTTATAAAATGAATTAGTGCATAATTGTTGATAGCCGTTTGTTGTTATTCTTTGAACATTTCCCATTTGCAGTCAATACGGTGGAGATTGTGCATACACCAGAGTCCCAGACAAGATTGGAATTCTTACAATGTGAGTATCTGTTCTCTCAGAGCAATACTTCAAGAATGTATCTAAAATCAAAAATCTTTATCATTCAATTGTGCAACCACTTCTTTCTTTATGGTCACCAGGACGCATTGTTGCTAAAGTATACATTTATGTTATTACAAAAGGTAAGGTACACTGCTCAAAAAAATAAAGGGAACACTTAAACAACACATCCTAGATCTGAATGAATGAAATAATCTTATTAAATATTTGTTTCTTTACATAGTTGAATGTGCTGACAACAAAATCACACAAAAATTATCAATGGAAATCAAATTTATCAACCCATGGAGGTCTGGATTTGGAGTCACCCTCAAAATTAAAGTGGAAAACCACACTACAGGCTGATCCAACTTTGATGTAATGTCCTTAAAACAAGTCAAAATGAGGCTCAGTAGTGTGTGTGGCCTCCTCGTGCCTGTATGACCTCCCTACAACGCCTGGGCATGCTCCTGATGAGGTGGCGGATGGTCACCTGAGGGATCTTCTCCCAGACCTGGACTAAAGCATCCGCCAACTCCTGGACAGTCTGTGGTGCAACGTGGCGTTGGTGGATGGAGCGAGACATGATGTCCCAGATGTGCTCAATTGGATTCAGGTCTGGGGAACGGGCGGGCCAGTCCATAGCATCAATGCCTTCCTCTTGCAGGAACTGCTGACACACTCCAGCCACATGAGGTCTAGCATTGTCTTGCATTAGGAGGAACCCAGGGCCAACCGCACCAGCATATGGTCTCACAAGGGGTCTGAGGATCTCATCTCGGTACCTAATGGCAGTCAGGCTACCTCTGGCGAGCACATGGAGGGCTGTGCGGCCCCCCAAAGAAATGCCACCCCACACCATGACTGACCCACCGCCAAACCGGTCATGCTGGAGGATGTTGCAGGCAGCAGAACATTCTCCACGGCATCTCCAGACTCTGTCACGTCTGTTACATGTGCTCAGTGTGAACCTGCTTTCATCTGTGAAGAGCACAGGGCGCCAGTGGCGAATTTGCCAATCTTGGTGTTCTCTGGCAAATGCCAAACGTCCTGCGCGGTGTTGGGCTGTAAGCACAACCCCCACCTGTGGACGTCGGGCCCTCATATCACCCTCATGGAGTCTGTTTCTGACCGTTTGAGCAGACGCATGCACATTTGTGGCTTGCTGGAGGTCATTTTGCAGGGCTCTGGCAGTGCTCCTCCTGCTCCTCCTTGCACAAAGGCGGAGGTAGCGGTCCTGCTGCTGGGTTGTTGCCCTCCTATGGCCTCCTCCACGTCTCCTGATGTACTGGCCTGTCTCCTGGTAGCGCCTCCATGCTCTGGACACTACGCTGACAGACACAGCAAACCTTCTTGCCACAGCTCGCATTGATGTGCCATCCTGAATGAGCTGCACTACCTGAGCCACTTGTGTGGGTTGTAGACTCCGTCTCATGCTTCCACTAGAGTGAAAGCACCGCCAGCATTCAAAAGTGACCAAAACATCAGCCAGGAAGCATAGGAACTGAGAAGTGGTCTGTGGTCACCACCTGCAGAACCACTTCTTTATTGGGGGTGTCTTGCTAATTGCCTATAATTTCCACCTGTTATCTATTCCATTTGCACAACAGCATGTGAAATTTATTGTCAATCAGTGTTGCTTCCTAAGTGGACAGTTTGATTTCACAGAAGTGTGATTGACTTGGAGTTACATTGTGTTGTTTAAGTGTTCCCTTTATTTTTTTGAGCAGTGTATATTCTACACCAATCACACATCCAAATTATCTCTGCTCTGTTTTCTCCCTCTCCTATCTCTCCACAGATTCCTGTCAGCTCACACTGGACCCAAACACAGGCTTCTACAACCTCCACCTGACTGAGGGAGACCTGGAAGTGACAATGAAGGTACCCAAACTGTGCCTCAACCATCCAGAGAGGTTCCACATTATCCAGGTGCTGTGTAGGAAGGGTCTGGGGCCTGCTGTTACTGGGAGGTAGTGTGGAGAGGGAAGAGGACCTACATAGCAGTCTCTTACAAGGACATCAACAGGACGGGCTTTGGTCCAGAAGCCCAGTTTGGCCTCAATGAGAAGTCCTGGAGTTTACTCTGCACCAAAGAAGCCTGTAGTTTCCTACATAACAACATAGAGACTAAACTACCTGCCCCTGGCCCTGAGTCCTGTAGGATAGGGATGTATCTGGATCACAGGGCTGGAGATCTGTCCTTCTAGAGCATCTCTGAAACAATTACCCTCCTCCATAGAGTCCAGACTGCATTCACTCGACCACTCTACCCGGGCTTTAGGCTGTATGAATACATGGACAGAGTTAAACTTATTCAGCTCCAGTGATAACAGACATTAGATTCCCAAGAGAGAAAGGTCATCTATTCAAGCACACACAAACACACTAAAACTATATACACAAACAGACCCATAACAGACATTTACTTGTATAATTTATATTGAAAACAGGTTAAAAACATTAGTCATATAAACTGTAACAGTTACCTTCGATCATACTTACAACTGTGCCCTTTTTATTTAATCCCCATTCAGTATTGCCATATTAGAGCAATACATCATAAACCAAGTGCATAGGAAAAGGTGTGATATGATATCAATAATGCACTTCATACTATTTAAACAGAACAAGACAGAACAGTACTGAGCTTGTCATCCTGGTTGGCTGTCCATCTGTGAGCCCGACTGGAATGATCTGATGTCTTCTCCTATAAACTCATTCACTGTAGACAAAAAGACACAGCAACCAGTCAGACATTTATATATTAATTTATGCTGTATACTGTATCAATAAATCTATATAAACAAAAATTTTATAAATGTATTGCTATTCTTGTAACAATGAAGTTCAATACCAATTGGAACCTTCCACATGTAAACTTCTCACCTTCCTCTAATGTAATGTGGTGAATGGATGATGAGCTGGCAAATTCCAGGGGGCTCTCCTGCATTTTAGATCCAGCCTGAGCTTCCCTTTCTCCAGGTCCCCTGCCCTGGTGGTCCCATACCTCATAGTGGGAATACGGTGGTGGGTAGAAGTCCTGATACGGGCTAGGGTTGGAGGGAGGCGAGGGGCAGACCTCATGAGGGTAGGGGTAGTGGGGGTAGGGAGAGGTAGTCATGGGGGGAAGAGGGGAGGAGGAGATGGGGCTGCTGGAGGGGAAGGGACTTAGAGAGGAGGAATGGGAGGGAGAGGGGGAAGAGGACAGGTATGGGGAGTCCAGCCATGGGGAGGGGGAGGGAGAGGGAGGCTGGGGGACTCTGGAGTAAAAGGGAGGCAGTAGCTCAGTGAAGCCCAGCTCCAAATTCTCAAAGCTGGGGTGTCTCTCCGACAGAGAGCCTCTGCTCTCCTCCACAGCTTCCGGCTTGTGGCAGTACTCCTGGTAGCCCTGGCCGGGGTAGGGGGGAGAGCAGGCTGAAGGGTAGGGGGGAAGGTGGAAGGCCAGCCCTCCCTCCTCAAGCATGGGATCATTCCCCCGGTGCACACCGCTGTCCACCCTGCTGGGCCCCCTCATGGAGCAGTGTGTCACCCCCTCCAGAGGCAAGGCAGAGGGACGCGACTGCAGAGGGTCCTCCTCTTTAAACATGACTGAGGGTGAAAAATAAGTGGTAATATGTAGTCTGGTCCCTGACCACGTAGATAAATACCATGGAGATGAATTGTTCAAAATGAACCAAAAACAACAAAGATAGTTACAGTCTTAGCTGAGAGACTGATGGATGAAGTGAGGGGAGACTCACCGGGGAGGTACTTGAAACAGTGAGTGCTGCTCCTTTTCCTCTTCCCATTGGAGACGTAAAGGCACACAGATACTGGGCGGCTCACTGAGAGTTCGCTGTAGGCTGGAACTCGCACACACAGCAAGCACTGGGGGATGACAACATGAAAAATGTAAATTACAATTCTAGTACATGTGCATGAACACAGATGCTCGCACACTCAAACACACATACACCCAGAAACATACTATTTACCTCATTACTGTTGTCACGGTCAACATGTGCCTCCTCTTCCCACTGTAGCTTTCCATCTGGTAAATAAGGATATAAATAATACCTTATTTCATGGATGGTGCACATTGAACATTGAAGAATTGTAGAAATAACACTTAAACACACACACTTACACACACACGTCATTACCTGTCCCTCTTTCCATAAAAAGCACTCTGGACATGGGCAGGAAGTTAGACCCACCCAACAGTAGCTCCTCCCCTCCTTCCACAGAGCAGGATGTAAGACTGACCGACTCTACCACTGGCAGCTCCTGAGCAGAGCGCTGGGCTGAGGAGAGAGAGGGGAAGAGAGAGAGAGAGAGAGAGAGAGAGAGAGAGAGAGAGAGAGAGAGAGAGAGAGAGGACAGATGATTCGCTAGGATATTGATAAATATGATACCTTATCAAAATACAAACTCAAAGAAAGTGTCAGGACAGGGAGAGTTGACTGTGATTGTTGGCTGGCTACTCACAGCACTCTATAGGAAGGGAGGCGACCTGCAGGGCCAGCACCCGTCCAGGCGGGGCCATGGGAGGGGCCAGGGGGAGGTGGGTACGGAACACCAGGCGCACACGCGTGTTCTTCCTCCCTACGTCTGTCTCTCCTTTCCTCAGTTCGATGTCCGAGTTCCTCAGCTTCAGAATGCCAGCACAGTCAATGCTGAGAGACAGAAAGGCTGTTTTATTCACTACATAGACACACACTCACACAGTAATGCCATGTACACACTTATTTAGTACACACAGGAAAGCTATTCTCTGCCTACTCTGTTACCCCATACAAACCTTTTGTATCTATTCTCTTATTTCTCTGTTAGTTACTCACAGCGCAGTCATGTTGGTATCTGGGTTGAGGGGGATGTCCAGTATTTTGGTGCCAGCTTGGACGCTCTCCTGACTGGCAGTGCCCACCATCTTTCCTGTCACCCTGAGGATCAGAAGAAACATTTTAACAATAAAAACAAAAACACACCAAAACACTGACATAGCACATACAATCATAGATTCATTGCAGTATTGTTGCACGGTTGCCTACCTGTGAATCTGATAGAAAGGATGAGGCCGGATGGACCTGTCATCAGCTGTTCCCACAAACACCTGCAAAGAGAGCGGCTGTCTCTCTGTGTACCCAGTCAGCTTGGAGAGACAGAAAAGAGAGTCATTGTTTAGATATACACTGAGTGTATAAAACATTAAGGACACCTTCCTAATATTGAGTTGCACCCCTTTGCCCTCAGAACAGCCTCAATTCATCGGGGAATGGACTCTACAAGGTGTCGAAAGTGTTCCACGGGGATGCTGGCCAATGTTGACTCCAATGCTTCCCACAGTTGTGTTAAGTTGTCTGGATGTCCTGTGGGTGGTGGACCATTCTTGATACACACGGGAAACTGTTGAGTGTGAAAAACCCAGCAGCGTTGCAGTTCTTGACACAAACCGGTGCGCCTGCCACCTACTACCATACCCCATTCTAAGGCACTTAAATCTTTTGTCTTGCCCATTCACCCTCTGAATGGCACACACACAATCCATGTCTTGATTGTCTCAAGGCTTAAAAATCCTTCTTTAACCTGTCTCCTCCCCTTCATCTACACTGATTGAAGTGGATATCAATAAAGGATCATAGCTTTCACCTGGATTCACCTGGTCAGTCTATGAAAATCAAATCAAATCAAATCATATTTTATTTGTCACATACACGTGTTTAGCAGATGTTATTGCGGGTGTAGCGAAATGCTTGTGCTTCTAGCTCCGACAGTGCAGTAATATCTAACAAGTAATATCTAACAATTTCACAACATATACCCAATACACACAAATCTAGTAAGGAATGGAATTTAAGAATATATACATATATGGACAAGCAATGACAGAGCGGCATGGACTAAGATACAGTAGAATATTATAGAATACAATACAGTATATAGATATGAGATGAGTAGTGCAAGATATGTAAACATTATTAAAGTGACCAGTGTTCCATTTCTTAAAGTGGCCAGTGATTTCAATAGGCAGCAGCAGCCTCTGTCGTGGAAAGAGCAGGTGTCCTTAATGTTTTGTACACTCAGTGTATACAGTATGTGTTAGTTTGGGATTGAAACCATAATCAATTGAATCAACTTATTATACCTTAACAACTGGATGTCCCCCTGGTGATGCCTTGACGGCTCCTCTGCTTCCCTCCGTCTCGTAGTGGGCTCGGTGGTGTGGGCGGGGCTGCACCTCGATACGCAGTTCATATTGGTCAAACTGAGTTGGCAGAGGCCAATCAAGTGGTGGCAGAGCATTGGATCTGTAATAACAATGGACCAGTCAGATGTGTGGGTGGGGCTGAGTGGGCTATCCTGGCCACCCAAACAATAATAATGGCAAGTCAACACACTATTGAGGGATACTATATAAACACAGTGTGTAACCTGAACAGAGGGCTGTGGGCGCTGGCTCTGGTCCTACCCCAGCCCAGAGCAGGGGGCACAGACAGGTAGTCCATGCCCATGGAGGGGGCCTCTCTCCTCTGCTGCAGCGGCTCTGGCAGTGGGCAGTGGGAGCTATGGGTTGGAGCCTGCTCTTGCTCCACCTCCCTGGGGGAAACCTGGAGGACACAAACCAGGGATTTCTGGTTGAGCATCAAAACAAACTATGGAACTTAAGATCTACAAACCACCAGCCACCTTACCTGCTCCAGTGATGTCTTCCTGGTCTTCTGTGGGATGCTCAGCTCAAAGCTGCTGTTGGGACTCTGTGACTGAGAGTTGGAGTCTCCTCCCTCCTGGATACAGGAGTGGTCCTCAGAGTAGCTGCTCCTGCGGGAGGTGCAGGGGGAGGCCAGGGGGGAGTTCCTGCGCTTCTTACCCCCCGGGGAGGTTGGCCGGGAGGAGGGCGACAGGCAGAAATGGGCGGTGGCCTCATTGAGATCCTCCTCCTCCACTAGCAGTGAATCACAGCTGGATGCAGGACTGAGCCAGCCGCGAGAAGAGGGGCTGGAGGCAGGGCTTGGGCTCAGGGACCCAGTGCCGGTGCCGCCCTCGCGGTAGCAGAACGGGTCCAGTAGGGGGAGGTAGAGGCGCTCCCTCTCCCAGCCACCTCCTGTGTCCCAGTAGTTACTTCCTGCTGGGGCAGTGTCATCCTCTGGGGAGATAGTGGTGATCTGGATGCTAGGGCACTCCAACACACGGGACTCTGAGACCTGGGAGAGAGAGAGGGAGGGAGGGAGAAATAGAGATAGACAGACAGACAGATAAATTAGAACATTAACCCAATGAGTCCCACGCAACGCCGGCGCGATTTGGACTTCTAACACCTTTAACATTGTGTGTTTGAGCTACAGACTTCTTGTACCAATGAATTCGTATATTTATTCTGCATATGTTGGTAACAACCATTAGTCTGTGTGATTAACGGGGGCTAAGCTAGAGCGATGCTTGTGAGACACGGGCAGATCCCGAAGGGGTCCGGGGATGGGTCTTTTTACAGAAACGTCTGTAGAGTCCAAATGGTTTGAGCTACAAACTATTAAAGCTATCTATGAAAAGCTGAGACTCTCACAAACAAGCACATGTTTTGCTCTACTCTCACAAGCTACACAAGAGTCGTTAAAAGGTAAGGGGTTCTTCTACCTAGAATATCATTGCACATCTAAGGACATAGTGTCTATAATACTGTAAAAAGCTCACATAGTTGCTGTCACAAACTCCACACGGTTGTCATTGACTAGTTGGATATTCATTTCCCACTGAGCAAATAATTTCTGTACTTACAGCATTATTTTTATCAGGTTTTATTTGGCTGACCTTTTTTTTTTTTTGTCATTTGTCAATAAAACTCATGAATGCAACAGTTTATGTCAAATGGTTTTGTGTTGAACTTGTAGCCCTTGTTGTCCTTAAAATAAAATGGTAAAATACTTAATTGTGAGGCTAAATATAATGGTTGGACATAAATGAAAGTCATATAAATGAAAAGCCGATTATTGCTGGGGTCTCGGGACTGATAGGGTTAACAATAGAGAAATGTAGGGACCATACTGTAGGGACAGGTATGGTTTTCAGCATCATGTATCCCTGATGACACAGAATCACTGTCCCACTCTCACTGACCAGGAGAGTAACTGGCCATCTCTGACCACTCACTTGTACAGATCGCGCCGGAAGACTCTCATAAGTCCCGCTGAACTCCCTCACCAAGGCACGTCTGGGGGGCGGGGAATGCATCCCAGCCCTTTGACTGGCTGAAGAAGACGGTGGGGTAGGGATGCCGATTGGCTGGCCTACATGAGTGGCAGCCAGGTGGCTGTCTGTGACAAAACAAAAAAGGTAGAAAAGGTGTCAGGAGTCTCTCAGTTACAGTTGACATGGTAAGCTGTATCCTACTGAGTTCACTGTTGAGAGAGTACAGAGCCAGAACACATTCAGGTTGAAGAGAAACCAGTTATGTCCACTATAAAAAGTATCCCCTAACTCTCAAGAATGGTAATCAAATATGTAAGGAAATGTCCCTTATTGATGTTTTAACCGCACATTACACCGCACATTTCCCTGCTGTGGTGTGGTGGTGCAGTAGACAGTACCGGACAGTGAGGGTCACTGTAAAGCACTGTGTCCACTACTGTCCAGTGTCCATTATAGTTAATTGGTCAGCCTAGTGCAGGAGTTAAGAGGTACAGTATACACTGTGGTAACTTATCTTGTAGTAAGTTTAAGGCTAGGGTGTGGTATTACTATTTTATGCCAGTGTGGGCGGGAAAGAGATGCGTGGGTGGGTGAGAGGGGTGTGTATGAAAGCTGAAAGGGGAAAGAAGAAAGGGGGTGAAGGAGAGGGAGAGAGAAAGTAAAGGAGGGAGAACGGAGGGAGGTGTGGTGCATGCTCAGTAAACAGAGATTGAGGTTCCATCCAGATGGCAGCTGTTAACTTCACTCACACGCACAGCTGATTAAAACCACATTGAGTTCTGCCCTTACACACACACACTCACACAACATACAGGCAAGCACAAGCATGCAATACACAGCACGCAAACTCCATACACATGAACACACACATCCCCCACACACAGACAAGCACATAGTGCACATACACCAGGCCTACATCCAGTCACATAACTTATCTATATCCAGGTAGAGAGAGAGAGAAAGAATAGTAGGCTTCATAATTTTACCAATGAACATACTCAGATCAACTAAATAATTCCCATTACATACACCACACAGAGACAAATCACTACAATGTGGATGAGGCGTCTACATTGGGAACCATTGACCATCTTCTTTTTCCCTGTCACACACATTCACACACACTATCCAAGAAAGGGTTCCAACCAGTATTGCTCAACGCTGGGAGCGAAAGGGAGCTCTCCGTCCTCTCCCCTGCGATGGTGTGCTCCTGGTCCGCGTTACGCAGCGGGGATGGGCCCCGGAGTTGGCGCGGCGGGTCCTCCTCAAAAACCAACTTGAACTCGAACTCCCCCTCCTCCCAGCCCGAACCCGGCGCGGCCCCCATCCCCGCAGCAAGCGGAAAAAGTCAGAGAGACTGATGAAGAGAACACCCCGGCTGAAAAGATTGAGATCTACCTAAGTGTTATCCGATAATAATAATAATAATAATAATAATTTCCTTGGTCCTTTTCAAAAAAACAATCAACGTTTTCCCAAAATGTATATGTTCAAGGGTAGGTCTCAAATTCGTTCTTGTCATCCGGATTGTGGTCGTTATTGCTCATAAACTCTCTCTGTAACTTTTTACAATGTCTTCCGTCGACAAGACATATTGTTGGACCACCGCTACATCTATTTCATTCGAAGTTTTGGAGAAGACAGATTTTATGCGTAGGCTAGCCTATATCGTTGATTTCTTTGAAATTCGTAAACGATCGGACCGGTATCTATCTATTCCATCACAGGCGATCAGTCTTTCATTTTAATGCTCTCTCGCCATCCTTTCTTCTATTCGACCAGAAAAAAAGTGTATTAAATATTTTTGTAGTCCTTTACCCTTTATTGCCTTTGGGTGGGTTTCTCAGCCCAGTTGGACCGTTACTGGATCTCCATAGGACATTTGGGTTGTCAGTCAAGGAGACCCCCTCCCCTCTCCCCCTGCCTATGCCCATGAGTTGAGAAGGTTTGGTTACTTTGAGATTTTTACCACGTTCTTATAAATAACTAATCAGTTATGTAGTATATACTGTAGATTATTGCATACATTTCCTCTGACAGTTTGACATCACATCCTTGTATTTCCAGACGTTTTCTGCCTTCCCTCCCACCCCCCATCACCAAACGTTTTAAATGGCATCAACACCAGTGTAATAAAAGTAATGAAGTGACCCTCTTGAGCCAGATGTTTGGCTGGTGGGCTGTTCCTCCCTGCTGTGGCCTCACTGAATGTCCCAGTGCTCTCTGTCACAAGAAGGACCATGATGCTTCGCTGTCACTCAGAGAGCATGAGGAGGCCAGGCTGTTTCCTGTGGTGTTTTACATGACAGCCCCCACCTCTCTTCTGTTTTCTTCCCTTTCTCCTCCCATTACCCCTCTCCCCCTTTTTCTTTTCCCTCCTCCATGTCCCTCCTCCTGCTCTCCCAGGCTCACCCCCTCCCTCTCTTCCTCCCTTCCTCGCCTTGCAAGATCTGTTTCTGATTATCCTCTGTAGTCTGCACTCTGTCTGAGACGGGAGACGAAAAGCTTAAATAAACATGCTCACACCCTCCCTCTCTTTCTCTAGTCTCCCCCCCCCCCCCCCCCCCCTCTCTCTCTCTTTCTCTCTCTCCTTCGCTCACCCCTCCTCCAGTTCTCACAATCATTATGTTATACTGGAGTTGGAGGCTTTTTTTGTCTCACTTTCTATAGTTCATACTCTTGGGGATGTGGGTACTGGTTTCTTTTATCCAAATGAAGATGGTTACATTTGGTAAATGTTAATACAAAATCAAGATTGAGCATTGCTGAAAGACTGCTTATTATTTAGAGATATAGTTTAAATTTTGGGGATTGGGATTTTTCTATGGGATTATGGTGTCTTTCAGAATTATTTGGTAAGAAATTAAAAAGAGCTCTTTAAAGTTTATTTAATCAGTAGGATTTTATTTGGGAGGCAAATGAGTGTTACAAATTAGAAGGATGATATGTGGGTCAAATCCTCAGGCTGGGTTTTAGTTGCTGTCTGATGTCAACGGTTGAATGTCAAATTAATTGACCGAGGAAGGAGGATAGAATTATGTGGATATGTTGCCACCATGTGGTAAAAAGGTGGAACAGTCCTTCCAAAACATTCCCAGAAAGGGAATAATACAGTACGATACAGACAGTGGTATTAAAATCCTACCCTGGAGGTCCAGAGTACCGGCTAGTTTTCTGTTCTACCTGATAATTAATTGCACCCACCTGGTGTCACAGGCCTAAATTAGTCCCTGATTAGAGAGGAAGAATGAAAAAAGCACTGGAACTGACTTCGAGGTCCATATTTGAATTTGAGAGGTGTAGGAGCTGAAAGAGGGCGGCAGGTAGCCTAGCGGTTAAGAGCATTGGGCCAGTAACCGAAAGGTTGCTGGTTCTAAACCTGAGCTGACTAGGTAAAACATTTGCCGATGCGCCCTTGAGCAAAGCACTTAACCTAATTCGAACTGGATAAGAGCGTCTGCTAAAGAGTATACAGGCCTTATTTTCCAGAATATTACAATCTGAAGCAACACCTTGAACACAGTTAATCAGACAAAATAACTTATATTATATATTCAGTGTCTCCAAACACCAGTGGGAAGCATTTATGATAATACATTAATATTTCAACGACAGTGTCACACTCTGATCCGTTTCACCTGTCTTTGTGCTTGTCTCCACCCCCTCCAGGTGTTGCCCATCTTCCCCATTATCCCCAGGGTATTTATACCTGCGTTCTCTGTATTTATACCAGTTCGTCTTGTCTTGTCAAGCCTACCAGTGGTTTTCCCGTACTCCTGTTTTTCTCTAGTTCCTGTTTTCTAGTTTTCCCGGTTTTGACCATTCTGCCTGCCTTGACCCTGAGCCTGCCTGCCGTTCTGTACCTTGTGACACCGCCTTGGATTACTGACCTCTGCCTGCCCTGACCCTGAGCCTGCCTGCCATTCTGTACCTTTAGGACTCTGTTCTGGATTACTGACCTCTGCCTGCCCTTGACCTGTCGTTTGCCTGCCCCCCTGTTTTTGTAATAAACTTTTGTTACTTCGAAACTGTCAACATCTGGGTCTTCACCTGAGCCGTGATGGTCCGAACTGGCCATGACGGACCCAGCAGACTCGGACCAGCTCCGCAACGCCGTCTCCTCCCAAGGAGCCACCATTGGAAGGCACGAGGAGTTGCTTCGTGGTCTTATGGAAGGGTTCCAGACCTTGGCCGAATGCCATGACCGAGCGTTGAACACATTGCTAAAGCAATTCTGTCTGTCAGGCAGCCTACCACGATGGTAACCTCCCAGCCCCTCAGAAACCCGGCTGTTAGCAGTGCGGCCTCCCCGGCCACCCCGGTTTCCCTAGAACCTCACTTACCTCCCCCGGAACGCTTCGCTGGAGAGTCGGGAACCTGTCAGGCGTTTCTCGCTCAGTGTTCTCTCATCATCGAGGTGCAGCCCTCCTCCTTCCCCTCGGACCGCTCAAAGATAGCGTACCTCATCATGCTGATGTCAGGGAGGGCTCTCGCCTGGGCTACGGCAGTGTGGGAACACCAGTCGGCCGTATGCTTCAGTCTGGAGGTGCTCGTGGCGGAGGTGAAGAAGGTTTTCGATGCTCCATTGTCCGGGAGAGAGGCTGCCGGAAGTTACTCCAGCTTCGGGCAAGACTCCTGTAGTGTGGCAGACTATGCGGTGGATTTCCGTACGTTGGCAGCTGAGAGTGCCTGGAACCCGGAATCCCTGTTCGACACGTCCCTGCACGGAGTATCGGAGGAAGTTAAGGACGAGCTTGCAGCCCGGGAACTACCGGCGGATCTCGACTCGCTCATCGCCTTGACCATCCAGATTGATGGGCGGCTACAGGAACGTAGGAAGGAGAGGAGGTCCGATTCCACTTGCCTGCTCACGGATAACACCTCGCCTCTGAGGCATCCTGGAAGTCCCCGATGTCTCAGTTTCCGAGAGAACCCGAGGCTACCCGAGTTCCCCCGAGAGTCTCCGAAGTCTGCCGATTCACCTCTTCCTGAGCCAATGCAACTAGGCAGAGCTAGGGTGTCCCCAGCTGAACGTCTACACATGCTTCACACAAAGAGCTGCCTGTATTGCGGGACTACTGGTCATTTTGTCCACTAAAAGACCAGGCTCACCGGTAGGGGCGAGTACTCTGGTGGGCCATCGGATAACTTTTTCTTTCCCCTTACTCACACCCCTTTCCATGCCATCCTGCTGTGGGGGAACCAGTCAAAATCTCTCCGGGTACTCATCGATTCTGGGGCCGATGAGAGTTTTATGGACTCTACCCTGGCGGCCTAGCTGGGCATCCCCACTCAGCCCCTCTACATTCCCATGGACGTTAGAGTGCTGGACGGGCGCTCTATAGGCCGGATCACCCACAATACCACCCCCATCAACCTACGAGTGTCAGGGAACCACAGCGAGGCTATCCAATTCATGCTAATCAAGTCTCCTCAGGTTCCAGTGGTATTGGGATTCTCTTGGCTCCGGCGACATAATCCCCTCATTGACTGGACTGCTTGTGCCATCATGGGCTGGAGCCCGTTCTGCCACGTCCATTACCTGAAGTCAGTGCAGCCTGCCCCGGGACATCTTCCTGGGGGCTCTGAAGTTGCCCCGGACCTCTCCGCCATTCCTGCAGAGTACTAGGACCTCCGGGAGGTATTCAGTAAGGCCAGGGCCACTTCGCTTCCTCCACACCGACCCTATGACTGCGGGATCGACCTTCTCCCAGGCACCACACCGCCCCAGGAATGACTGTACTCTTGTTCGGGTCCGGAGACCAAGGCTATGGAGACCTCCAGTACCACTCAAAAGTTTGGACACACCTACTCATTCCAGGGTTTTTCTTTATTTTTACATTCTTCTACATTGTAGAATAATAGTGAAGACATCAAAACTACGAAATAACACATATGGAATCATGTAGTAACTGCAAAAGTGTTAAATAAATATAAATGCCTTGATGACAGCTTTGCACACTCTTGGCATTCTCTCAACCAGCTTCACCTGGAATGCTTTTCCAACAGTCTTGAATGAGTTCCCACATATGCTGAGCACTTGTTGGCTGCTTTTCCTTCACTCTGCGGTCCGACTTATCCCAAACCATCTCAATTGGGTTGAGGTCGGGGGATTGTGGAGGCCAGGTCATCTCATGCAGCACTCCATCACTCTCCTTCTTGGTAAAATAGCCCTTACACAGCCTGGAGGTGTGTTGGGTCATTGTCCTGTTGAAAAACAAATGATAGTCCAACTAAGCCGAAACCAGATGGGATGGTGTATCACTGCAGAATGCTGTGGTAGCCATGCTGGTTAAGTGTGCCTTGAATTCTAAATAAATCACAGACACTGTCACCAGCAAAGCACCCCCACACCATAACACCTCCTCCTCCGTGCTTTACGGTGGGAAATACACATGCAGAGATCATACGTTCACCCACACGTGTCTCACAAAGCCACGACTGTTGGAACCACAAATCTCCAATTTTGGACTCCAGACCAAAGGACACATTTCCACCGGTCTAATGTCCATTGCTCGTGTTTCTTGGCCCAAGTAAGTCTCTTCTTCTTATTGGTGTCCTTTAGTAGTGGCTTCTTTGCAGAAATTCAACCATGAAGGCCTGATTTCACAGTCTCCTCTGAACAGTTGATGTTGAGATGTGTCTGTTACTTGAACTCAGTTTTATTTGGGCTGCAATTTCTGAGGCTGGTAACTCTAATGAACTTATCATCTGCAGCAGAGGTAACTCTGGGTCTTCATTTCCTGTGGCGGTCCTCATGAGAGCCAGTTTCATCATAGCGCTTGATGGTTTTTACAACTGCACTTGAATAAACTTTAAAAGTTCTTGAAATGTTCATTATTGACTGACCTTCATGTCTGAAAGTAATAATGGACTGTTGTTTCTCTGCTTATTTGAGCTGTTCTTGCCATAATATGGACTTGGTATTTTACCAAATAGGGCTATCTTCTGTCACAACACAACTGATTGGCTCAAACGCATTAAGAAGGAAAGGAATTCCACAAATTAACTTTTAAGAAGGCACACCTGTTAATTGAAATGCATTCCAGGTGACTATCTCATGAAGCTGGTTGAGAGAATGCCAAGAGTGTGCAAAGCTGTCATCAAGGCAAAGGGTGGCTATTTGAAGAATCTCAAATATAAAATATATTTTGATTTGCCAGGGGGCCACCGTTTTCTCCATGCTGGACCTATGGAACGCCTACCACCTGGTGCGGATACGGGAATGGGACGAGTGGAAGACTGCCTTCAACACAGCCAGCGGTCACTACGAATATCTGGTCATGCCATTTGGCCTTACCAATGCTCCAGCTGTGTTCCAGGCCCTGGTTAATGACGTTCTCCGCGACATGTTGAACCGGTTCGTCTTCATCTACCTCAACGACATCCTCGTTTTCTCCCGCTCAGCCCAAGAACAAGTGCTCCACGTCAGACAGGTCCTCCAGCGCCTCCTGGAGAACCAGCTTTTTGTGAAAGCGAAGAAGTGCAAATTCCATCGCTCCACCATCACCTTCCTTGGTTACATCATCGCTAACCGGAATGTACAGATGGATCCCGGGAAGGTGAGTGCGGTGGTAGATTGGCCCCAGCCTATGTCCAGATTGCAGCTGCAATGTTTCCTGGGATTTGCCGACTTTTATTGCCGCTTTATCCGGGGTTACAGCACTCTGGCTTCCCCCCTGTCTGCACTCACCTCTCCCAAGTTTCCATTCACGTGGTCCCCAGCTGCTGACCGGGCATTCCGGGACCTCAAGCACCACTTCACCACGGCTCCCATATCGGTTCATCCTGACCCGTCCCGTCAGTTCGTGGTGGAGGCCGATGCTTCGGATGTCGGAGTGGGGGCTGTCCTGTCCCAGCGTTCTGCCCTGGGCCTCAAGTTACATCCCTGCGCCATTTCATTCCTCTCCCCAAGCTACCCTTTGCCAAAGAGACGGCCCAGCTCATGGTGCAGCACGTCTTTTGGATCCATGGACTCCCGGTGGAAATGGTCTCCGACCGGGGTCCTCAGTTCTCGTCCCGGTTCTGGAAGGCGTTCTGCACACTCATTGGGTCGTCGGCTAGCCTGTCCTCTGGTTTCCACCCTCAGTCCAACGGGCAGTCGGAGAGAGCCAATCAAGACCTGGAGACGACTCTTCGCTGCCTTGTCTCTGCCAACCCCACCACCTGGAGCCAGCAACTCGTGTGGGTTGAATACTCCCACAACACCCTCCCCTGCTCTTCCATTGGTCTCTCGCCCTTTGAGTGTTCCTTGGGTTATCAGCCCCCGCTCTTCCCGGCGCAAGAGGAAGAGGTCGGCATACCCTCGGCCCAGACGTTTGTCCGCCGCTGTTGCTGTACCTGGAAGAGAGCCTGGTTGGCTCTTCTCAAGACCACCTCCAGGTATCAACGACAAGTGGACCGCCACCGGACCCCGGCTCCCCGGTATCGTCTCGGGCAGAGGGTATGGCTGTCCACTCGAGATCTTCCCCTCCGGGTGGAGTCCCGCAAACTTTCCCCCCGTTTTATCAGCCCTTTCCCCATTTCCAAGATTATTATCCCTTCTGCTGTTCGTCTTCTGTTGCCCCGTACCCTCCATATACATCCCACTTTTAATGTGTCTAGGATTAAACCTATGTCTCACAGCCCTTTGTCTCCTTGGATTACTGACCTCTGCCTGCTCTGACCCTGAGACTACCTGCCGTTCTGTACCTTTTGGACTCTGTTCTGGATTACTGACCTCTGCCTGCCCTTGACCTGTCGTTTGCCTGCCCCCCTGTTTTTGTAATAAAATGTTGTTACCTCGAAACTGTCTGCATCTGGGTCTTCTAATGAGCCGTGATAGACAGAGCTAGAATCAGAGAAAGAGAGTGGCTGGATGCATGTTTTGGTGGTGTGTGTGTTAGACAGGAACTGACAACTGTCAGTTATGAAGAAATCAAATGTGTGAGTGATGGTGAGGCCCATGTCTTTACGTACCTGGACAAGGGAGTATCATTTTTCACTCACTCCTATACTTTCCCTCTCTGCTTTACCTTGTGCCCCACCCCGGAAATTAGTAACATTCCTGGGTACGTGTCAGAGCTTTGTGAGCAAGTGTGTGCATGTGTGTGTTTAGTGTCTAAAACTCTCTCTGTGTACATGTTTGCGCTTGTATGGTTTGGTGGATCATGATTGTAGAAATGTTATGTTTGCGTCATCAACACACTGATCGTAAGGCCAATTGTGTTTTATTAGGCTACATTTTAAAAGGTACCCTGGGGATACAGAAATATCCACTGTGATAAATGGAAAATGTTTAGAGTGCAACAATTTGTACAGCAATTGTTGTTTATACATTTCGAAATATTATCAAGTGTGTGTGATGTGTGAGTGTATGTGTGTGTGATGTAGAGTGTGTGTGTGTGCGTGTGTGTGTGTGAGAGTGAGTGAGTGAGAGAGAGAGAGAAGAGAGAAGAGAGCGAGAGAGACGATAAGAGAGAAAGAGAAGAGAGAGAGAGAGAGATAGAGGAGAGAGCGCTAGAGAGCCGACGACGATCTGAGAGCGCAGAGGCTCTCGAGAGCTACTCGATCGAACAAGTCCGCCTCTCTCCTCTCTTCTCTCTCTCCTCTCTCTCCTCTCCTCTCTGTCTTCCCCCCGGAGAGCTCTTCGTTTCCTGTTGCTTACTGTTTGGGGCCTCTAGGACATCCTCTGTTTGGGACGGTGGAAGTTAGGACACTCCTCTCTCACCCCTCACAGCATGTTGCAGCCTTTGGGGCAGCACATTTATTAGACACATTAACAGGGAAAGACAAGGGGGAAAGCAGTTGTAAAGAAGAACATAGACTGTTAGAAAGAGAGCGGGAGTGGGATACGAGCTGTCAGAAAAGTGAAAGAAACAGAGAGTATAGACAAATAGAAAACGGATCCCACCACATGGTCACTACGTTGATCATCGACATCTTTGATCACCTCTAATGCTCAATGTGAAAGGTGAGTGGCTGCAAATCTCCTGAACTTTTACCTGGCACACACTGTATTCTCATTGTTCTCATTCTCTTTTCTTCTGCTCTTTCTTCTCTCTCTCTACTTCTCTTCTCTCTGTCATCTCCTCTCTCCCCTCTCTCTCTCTCTCTCCCTCTCCTCTCCTCTCTTCTCCTCTCTCTCTCTCTCTTTTCTCCTCTCTCTCTTCTCTCTTCTCTCTCTCTCATCATCTCTTTAATCGTTCCTCATTCATTTTCCATTCTCTTTTCATTCCTTTACAAAACTCTACATTTCTTTCCTCTTTTCCTCATACATTTTCTCATTCCATCAAGTTCCCTCTCTCTGTCTCCTCTCTCCCCCTCTTCTCCATGTGTTGGTGAGCCCTTCTTGTCTCTGTGTGGTTCTGTGTTCCGCTGTGTGGTTCGCTGTTGACATAACCCTGCCTTGGTTCTCATGGTTACACATCTCTACACTGATCGAAGGTCTGCTTTTGAAATAAACAAAAGCTGCTGTAATGTCATAGTCTGGAAAGTAGGGTGTATTTTATGTTCTCACATTCCCAAAGAACAGTTGTATTCTTTCTAGAAATTCAACCAGCATATAGTACAATTATAATACAATACAATTTTCACTGCTTAAATTGAGTTTTTTTCCTTTTTTCTTTGTCAAAATAACTGGAAGAGGGGAAGCTTGTTGCCCTGTTAATAGCCTGTCAAATTAGTTTGATGATTGACACGATTTCCACTTCTGTGAACCATTATTTGGTGTCCTTCCTCTCCATAGCTTGACTGAAAGATAGAAACAGAGCTTACAGCACGGAGGAAGACAAGTATAATGCCTTTGATGACAGGAGGAAATGATTGTGCCAATGTTGAGTATCATGAGAGAAAGAGAGAGTCTTTTGAAGGAACAGTGTTAACATTTGGCATGTTTTAGCATGCCGTCTCAGTGCTGTGCCAGTATGCTGTTGGCCAGGAGGCCTAATGTGAATATTTGCTTGCCTACTTCAGTGGCATCACTTTTTATGTGTGCTGCAAACACATTGTCTCCGCAAGGAGAGAAGAGTAATAGAAGATAGAGAGAGCCATGTATCTCCATTCCCACAAATCGAACCGTAACCCAACCCTTTGGCACTTGAATTCAATTGATGTAAACAATATGTAATATGCAAAACAATCCACTTAACTTGGGTTCGAAGATCAAGCTCGATGACACTTCCCAAATCCAAGGTTCATAACATAAGAACAGGTATAATTTCACCCAAATAGTCCTATGTGTGACTCTTTCTGTCTCTCTCTCTGTTCACCTCTCTCCCTCAGAGTCAATAACATTCCCAATGGCCAATGACAGTGATTTCAAACTTTCTTCCGACTCATCCATCTCCTTCCTTGATGTCTTCAATGACACAGAGATCGAAGATGGCAGCATTGTCCTATTCTCCAACAGCACTGTTGAGGAACCCAGCATTGTGAGTAACATTGCCACCACAACCATTGGAGCCCTCATCCTGGGCCTGGTCTTCCTCCTTGGCGTACCGGGGAACCTCTTCATCATCTGGAGCATCCTGGCCCGCGCCCGCCAACGCTCCGTCACCACCCTCCTCATCCTCAACCTGGCGTGCGCCGACGGCTTCCTCATGTGCCTCACCATCTTCTTCATCATCTATTTGGCTAGGCAGAACTGGGACTTTGGCAACTACATGTGCAAGGGGGTGTTTTACCTGTGCAACACAAACATGTATGCCTCCATCTTCCTCATCACGCTGATGAGCCTGCACAGGCTGGTGGCAGTGGTGTGGCCCCATCGAGTGGCGGCCCTGGCCAGCAAGAAGATGGTAGTGCGGGCAATAGCTGTGCTCTGGGTCCTGGTGTTCTTCATGGCTATCCCTGCTCTGGTGTTCAGGGAGGTGAGGGATGATCATGACGAACAGAACAAAACCCGACTGGTGTGTGCCTCAGATCACCGTCTGCCTCAACATGTAAGTTTAAGAGATAAGTGAATATTAAGTTAATAGTGGAGTTAGATACATAATATATTGTTCTGGTTTAAGTACATTGTTGTTTAGGATTGGGAAGAGGTTTATATGTTGATACAGGTACAGTCATGATATGACTAATAAGATCATAAATCCTAGCCAATCCTACATTTTTGCTCGAGATCTTGTTATGACAGATTCATTCATGTTCAAATAAGCCTGGTATTCCACTATGCTATCATTACATGTGTGCAGTTGATCGTTACCTCATTTTTCATGTTCAGGTGGTGTTCCAGTACACCTTTGAGACAGTATTGGGATTTCTGGTTCCGTATGGGATTATAGTGAGCAGCTATGTCTGCATCCTGAGACGCCTCAGACAGACCAAGTTCCGTCGCAAGATCCGCAGTGAGAAACTCATCCTGGCCATCGTTGTGATGTTTGGCATCTTCTGGTTGCCCTATCACGTCATCAACATAATACAGGTGTGTGATCATATGGGATTGGTTGCTTTGCCATTTCACTCAGAATGTGGAGAGTAGCATAGGAAGTTGTGCTATTTTACAGTGAAGGAATGAATGAAAGGTTTTGCTCTGTGGTTGTCTCTCCTAGGTGGTGGCTGAGCATTTTGAAGACGGTTCACCAATGAAAAAGAGGTAAGTGCTTACCAACTGACCCAACATTTTCCCCCTCCATTTTATATAACATAAGCACCACCATACAATGACAGTAAAAAGACTGTAACGGCAACATGAACTGTATCCCTCCCTCTGCAGACTATATAGGATATGGCAGCCCAGTCGTGCTGTGACCTCTGCTCTGGCCTTCATCAGCAGCTGTGCCAACCCCATTCTCTACACATTCACTGGGAAGTCCTACATCAGAGAGGATGGCATGGCCTTCATGGCTCGCCTCTTTGAAGGGACATCTCTGGACACTGGGATAAGGAAGGGCCGGCAGACAACCAGGGACAGGGAGGGAAAGGGACTCAAAGATATGTTGTCTTTCAGCAGCACTGGGGAAAATGCTGTGATGAATGGAAAATAGACACTCATATGCAGGGTTGCACTGCACATACTATCCACTCATCATGACGATGCACTCCTGCACACAGACCGCTTAAAAAAACAATTTTTATTGCTATATTGTTGGTTAAATTGTTGGTGCCTTTTTTACTTTTAATACATTGCTTGTGCCGCTTGAATGTTTGTTGAATCCCATGCTGCATTCAACACCCTGCATTGACAGCCACACACCCAACAACCACAGCACTAGCACACAAACACATATTCTCAACCCCTGCCCCATGGAGAGCATCACTCCAGACACCACCCCACAACAGCAGCACCCAGGCAGAGCAGAAGACAGAGGACAACATTGTCATCCTGTGTGACTCCAATGGCAAATATCTTGATGGAAGACGGATGTTCCCAAAGAGATGAGTGAGGAAGATCTGATGCCCAACTATGCAGTCAGCCCTTGGACGCCTGGCAGAGCAGAGACTGAGAGCACCGACCCACATACTCATCCACACAGGGACGACGATCTCTGCAAGCAGAGTGGATGTAGCCAAGGCTCTGACTCAGATGGCTTTAACAGCCACACAGGCCTACCCCACACCCATGATCATCGTCTCCACTCTTCTGCCCAGAACAGATATACATCAGAGTGTAATCCACAGGATAAATGCTGAAGTGTCTCATAACTGTGCTCTGATTCAGAATGTGCACATAGCACATCACAAGGACATTCGTCATGACCAACTGTATGACCACGTCCACATCAACAGAGAAGGGATGAGAGGCCTTGCAAAGGTTCTGAAGGACACAGCTTTGGACAGCAGGTCACACAACCACACTGACATCAGAAGACCAACCAACCACCAACAATCTCAAAGGGACTCTAATCCATGGCAACACAACACCCATACCCCTCAACAACACAAGCAGCCTGAGAAAAGGATGAGCAAACCCCAGCTCCAGAACAGTCAGATGAGCGAATCCCAGGAGCTCAGCCAGAGAGCTATACTGAGATAGCATGCAGGCCTGCTAACCCCGCTTCATCTGAACTTAATCAGATAAGACACCTCCTGAACATCATCTGCAGTCGAGTAATGTTGTTTTATTCATTTTATTGTTATTATTTACTAATATCTAGTCCAGATAGAATAACAGATACTAAAGGCTTAAAAATTATACATGTAAACATTCGTAGCCTGCTAATCAAAATAGAAATGCTCAGAGCATGGGTAGAAATTCATAAGCCTCACATATTAACAATTTCAGAGACATGGTTGAATAGGTACATTTCTGACACTGAGTTAAAAATCCAGGGTTACATATTATATAGAATTGATAGGTGCACTCGAGGTGGGGGAGTAGCAACCTATGTCCTCGATAAATGACTGTCTATGAAGATTTCACCTGAGATTGTCCCTCTACATTTTGAAGGTTTATTTGTTAAAATAACTCTACATGAGAACAAGTCATTGATGATTGGTAACATTTACAGACCACCCAATGCCCCAGTAGACTCCATAAACAATATTATCACCACGGTAATTGAATGCATTGGTCAAATGAATGGATCATCTTAGGTGACTTTAATAGGAATCTGCTAAGGATAGTAAAACTATTGAAAATATGTACTTTACTGAATTAAAATACCAACCAGTGTCAATCCACAAACTCATAATGGGACTTTGCTGGATTGGATTTTGGTGACACGTCCTGACAGGATTATACATTCAGTTGTTCTTTCAGTGATCATTCCATCATCTACCCCGTTTGGAAAATTAAGATACCTAAATCGATTAATTTAAGACAATGTACAAATGTAAGTATTGATTATTTCATTGATGACTTGATACCCATAAACTGGCAAAGATTCCAGCTAATCCCAACAGCCCAAAATGCATGGGATTACTTTCTCACTGAATTCACGAAAGTATGCGATAAACATGCTGTCACACCCTGGCTCTGGGACTCTATATGTTGAGCCAGGGTGTGTGCATTCTATGTGTTCATTTTCTATGTTGGGTGTTCTAGGTTGTCTATGTCTATGTTTGCATGTGTGACTCCCAATCAGAGGCAACGAGTGTCAGCTGTCGGCTGGTTGTCTCTGATTGGGAGCCATATTTAAACTGTGTGTTTTCTCTTGGGTGTTGTGGGTTTTTGTTCCGTGTCGGTATGTTAACCGTTGGACTTCACGAGTCGTGTTTTGTTTGTATTTAGAAACTTTAATTAAATAAAGTCATGTTTCTTTCACACGCTGCGCCTTGGTCTACTACTCCTTACCCAGACGATCGTGACAGAAAAACCCACCATACAAGGACCAAGCAGCGTGTCCAGGAGCAGGCAGCCTGGTCATGGGAGGAAGCGCCAGGAAAGGAGATGGAGAGGCTGGCGATGGCCCAGGTGGGCAAAGTGTGGTCCTGGGAGGACATGCTCGGGGGCAAGGGACCTTGGGGTAGGATCAAGGCCCTGGCGAGAGAGGAGCAGCGGCGTCAGCAGTGCCATCGTCGGACGGACGAGAGGCACCCCCAAGAATTTTTTAGGGGGGGGCACACGGCATGGGCGACTGGGCAGCAGGAGGCTGCCACAGGGCGAAATAGGAGAAGAGGAGAGAAGGCCACCGGGTTACGGGAGCCATTGGCGAGAGGAGGGAAGGAAGTCGTAGAGGCACGGCGAGAGGGACTGAGGTGTATTGCCAGTCCGGTCCGGCCCGTTCCTGATCCCCGTTTAAAGCCAGTGGTGTGTGTTCCCAGTACGGTCCGGCCTGTCCCTGCTCCACGCACCAAACCTACGGTGTGCGTCGCCAGCCCAGCCCGGCCTGTCCCTGCTCCACGCATCAAACCTACGGTGTGCGTCGACAGCCCTGCCCGGCCTGTTCCTGCTCCACGCACCAAACCTACGGTGTGCGTCGACAGCCCAGCCCGGCCTGTCCCTGCTCCACGCACCAAACCTACGGTGTGCGTCGCCAGCCCAGCCCGGCCTGTCCCTGCTCCACGCACCAAGTCTACGGGGTGCGTCGCCAGCCCAGCCCGGCCTGTCCCTGCTCCACGCACCAAGCCTACGGGGTGCGTCGCCAGCCCAGCCCGGCCTGTCCCTGCTCCACGCACTAAGCCTACGGGGTGCGTCGCCAGCCCAGCCCGGCCTGTCCCTGCTCCACGCACCAAGCCTACGGGGTGCGTCGCCAGCCCAGCCCGGCCTGTCCCTGCTCCACGCACCAAACCTACGGTGTGCGTCGCCAGCCCAGCCCGGCCTGTCCCTGCTCCACGCACCAAACCTACGGTGTGCGTCGCCAGCCCAGCCCGGCCTGTCCCTGCTCCACGCACCAAACCTACGGTGTGCGTCGCCAGCCCAGCCCGGCCTGTCCCTGCTCCACGCACTAAGCCTAAGGGGTGCGTCGCCAGCCCAGCCCGGCCTGTCCCTGCTCCACGCACCAAGCCAGGGGTGCGAGTCGTCAGCCTGGTCCAGCCCGTTCCTGCCACTCGCACCAAGCCAGGGGTGCGAGTCGTCAGCCTGGTTCAGCCCGTTCCTGCTACTCGCACCAAGCCCGGGGTGCGAGTCGTCAGCCTGGTAAGACCGGTCAGCTGCTCCACAACGGAGCGTAAGCAATCCGCTCCGTCAATGTCCAGTCCAGATCCAGCCAGCGGGGTCAGACCGGACCAGGGGCGCTACGGGGGTATTATGGAGGGGTGGTGGTCAAGGCCGGAGCCGGAGCCGCCTCCGAGGAGGAATGCCCACCCAGCCCTCCCCTGTTTGGGGTTTTGTTAAGACGCGGTCGCAGTCCGCGCCTTTAGGGGGGGGTACTGTCACACCCTGGCTCTGGGACTCTATATGTTGAGCCAGGGTGTGTGCATTCTATGTGTTCATTTTCTATGTTGGGTGTTCTAGGTTGTCTATGTCTATGTTTGCATGTGTGACTCCCAATCAGAGGCAACGAGTGTCAGCTGTCGGCTGGTTGTCTCTGATTGGGAGCCATATTTAAACTGTGTGTTTTCTCTTGGGTGTTGTGGGTTTTTGTTCCGTGTCGGTATGTTAACCGTTGGACTTCACGAGTCGTGTTTTGTTTGTATTTAGAAACTTTAATTAAATAAAGTCATGTTTCTTTCACACGCTGCGCCTTGGTCTACTACTCCTTACCCAGACGATCGTGACACATGCACCTTGGAGAACAGTGAAAGTTAAGGGCCATCACCTGCCCCGGGTTAGCTCTGACTTAATACATCTGTTCAAAGACAGGGATAAAGCCGGGGCTAAGTACCGTAGTACCAAAGATCCAACTGATTGGGAGTCCTATAGAAAATTAAGAAACACCAGTAAAACTAAAACTAAAAATGCAAAAGCTTCCTTCTATATGGATATTCTTAAAAAACCACAGCAGTTCTGGAAATCCACAAATGACCTTTTAAATAGGTCAAATAATCTACCTATTCAGCAAATACTCCTCAATGATTAAACCAACTGATATACAACCTCTCTTCAATGAAATAAATATCAACAAAGGAGCTGCACTATGAACCCAAATGTACAAAGTGGTCTGCTAATGTTATAATGTATCCTCAAGCAGATCTACACAACGTGGAAAACTGATTGGATTTGCAAAAAGTCATTAACGTAAGGGAATTTCGTCTTTTTTTCACCTAACTTTTAACCTAAATCCAATGACATGGTGACATTTTTTGTTGATTTCACGTTGAATTCACATTAGTTGACAACCAAATTTAAATCAAAACTAGACATTGAACTGATGTCTGTGCCCAGTGGGAGGTGCTAGTTAGTACCAAAAAAATTGTTTTTAATTTTGTCCCTGTAGGCCAGGGTAACCCTTTTTTGGACTGTGGAGGACCTTTTAATATTGGTTCTTTGAATAACCCTTTGTATAACCATTTGTATGGTTCTTCATTACACTCACTGATAGAGCCAACGGGTTTTCATTGCACTGTAAAAAAAAATACGGTAAATATACAAAACACTGCTGTATTTTTAGAGCTGGATTAAGATACACTGCTCAAAAAAATAAAGGGAACACTTAAACAACAC